AAGGCTGTAAAGTGTTCGCAGTGTGGGAAAGGCTACTCAAATAATGGGAATCTGATGAGACATCTCAAGTTTGAGTGTGGGAAAGAGCCTCAGTTTCATTGCCCTATTTGTCCACTTCGTACAAGACACAAGAGCAACCTCCTCTCACATATATACTGCAAACACCCTACAACATATCACAATTTGTAATGTCTCCAACTTGTGGGTATTTTCAAGTGAAGTCTGTGGTCTACTTTCCCTGTTCCGTCTGCATCAGCATTCTCTTGTAACCCAGGGACTTAGATTATGGTGTTCTGTGTTCTGACACTGTGTAGCTCTGTAAGTGGATCACTGAGATTTGGAGGGACATGTTGTCTCTGTCTTCAGATTTGAACTGAGTGGAACGAGAATGCTCTCAACTTACACAAGCATGTTATCCTGATTCCTCATTTGTCCCCCTCATATGCTATTCACTGACCAACTGAGCTGTACTAACTGCTCAAGACTTAGGTTCTTCGTCCACCGCCGCAATGCAATTGCAACTCGACTGAAAAATGACTACAGATTAGTTGTCTTTGAGTTGTGTAATAGTCTGACCCCTGTTAATAATACGAATCTCTCCCATCAATGAAACTGCAACCCGACTCGAAGATAATCGATCGGAAATGAGTTGCTACGTAGTTAGTTAGTTAGTTATTGGAGAGGGTGGGTTTCCCCATGCACCGCGACCAGTTTGATCTGTTGTGCTTCCCTCTATGATGTTCTACCAGTCTCTATACCCTACCGATACTTGTGCTTACCATCAGTCCCGACCAAGCCAGCGAGTTCGGCCTCTACTGGCTTACCGTTATCTATAATGCTTCCCCCATCTATCAGAGGCGTTAGAGACTACTGTTGGGTGGGAAATGTCCTTGAATTTGGCTCAGTGACCTTAGGGATGTGAGGTTCTTTTACGTGCTGTAAAGCTACGACATGGGACCCACGGCTTAAAGTCCCTCCTGGAGGACTTGTTCCTTGAATTTTTCCGCCCTTAAAAATTCCACGACCTCCGCCAGGTTTGAACCCACGTACTACGAGTCAAGTGGTTGGAACGTTACCTCTAGACTATGGAGGCCGCTGAGTTGCTATGTAATTGAACGTGTCAGTTTGAATGCAACTGCCTAGCAACACACATGATGTCAGAGCAAGGTTTTTGTATTAAACTTGTGCAGGCTGTGGAAAAATATCCTCGTCTATACAACTAGGGCCTTAAACTATTGGAAAAGAGTTGCATTGGTGGACGAAGCTGAGATTGCGTTCAAGTTTAGTTTCATTTCATTTTGTTTGAGTTGTAGCAGAGTTGCAGTTGCATTGCGGCGGTGGCCGAAAGGCCTTACTATGTTTAAGTAAAACTGTTGTGTGGTGGATCAATGGAAGGGATATCCATGGAAGCCATAGCTAGAGTTGGGAATTTAAGATTTTCCCATTGATTTTTCAGTGGTCATTCTGCTGTTGGTTTTGAAAAGTTCCAGAAACCTCTAAATGTATTTTCTACAAAATGTCAAATATGCAGGCCTAGAAATAAATATTGCAACTTTAATATAAACAGATTTTCTTGGTATGATTAACTAATAATTATTATAATATTTAGTGGTGTGTGAAACAAGCTAATATTGTTATGTCATATGCAGAATGTTTCCTTGTACTTACTGGATTATACTCCATTAGCTGTTATATGTGACTTTATGTTATGTTTGTTGATAATGTAATTACTTGTATTTACACTGTTCTGTTTCTGTAATTGGCTTTTGAATTGAATTGAATTTATATACATTCTGTAAATTCTAAGCAGGTTAGTACCTTTGGATACAGAACAAGTCAAAAGGTTACATACATAAGTACAGGCAATTTTAGCTTAAAAATTAATATAACTTAATTTTACATCATTCTCTATTTACATTGAAGTATTCATCTAAAGAGTAGAAGGAATGAGCATGTAGATAATTCTTTAACTCTGATTTAAACTTTTTAGTATCATTGCCCAAGTTTTTAATACTTTGTGGCAGATTGTTGAACACTTTTATGCCAGTAAAGTAGACTTTACTTTACTTTACTTTACAGCTTTGTAGCTGTTGAGTCGGCACATAAATAATAAAGAATTGAATTGGAATTGTTATGCTCATCTTGGTAAGAACTTTCCATGTAGAAAAGGTCTGTCATACCGTATTGATATAAGTGAAAAATATGCATGTAAGAAATAAGGAGGACAGCATGCTGTGGACATTTCACCTTGTACAATTTTTTGATATTGTGAATATTTTGTTTCTTTGTGTTAAACATACATATATTATTAATAAATATTGACAGTACATTAATATGTAAATTTACAAATAAAACTAAGTAATCATCCCCATGGAGCAGAGCCAGTCTTGAGAAAGCAGCAATTGTACAACTAGTTGAATTCCCCACCTTTTATGGAGTCCAAAGATTTCTTTATCATGTTCATAAGATCATACCACTGGGATTCTATTCCAAACGTATTGAATCCAATGCACATCTTCGTGTCCTACTTTCCTAAGATTAATTTTAATATCCTTCCTAGGTTTCCCAAGTAATCACTTGCCTTAAGAGTTTCTTACCAGAATTTTATATGCATTTCTTATGTCTCCCTTGTGTGACACTAACCACCTGCCACCCCATAACTGACTGCATGTACCATGTTATTATTAATGACTGCAAGAACTGAAAAGTATGAGGTTAGAATGATTTCTAGTATAATGTAATTGATATCAAATTTTTATCTGTATCTGGTGGTAGCATAGTTGGTTGAGGCAACTATGCTACAAGTCGGAAGGTAGTGGGTTCAAGTCCTGTTGAGGTGAATTTTTTCAATTTACCTGATCCTTCCCGCCGCTCTATGGCCCTGGGGTCACCTCAGCCTCTAACAGAAATGAGTACCAGGATCTTCCTGGGGGGTTAGGCATGTAAGGCTCATAACCTCACTGCCATCTGTGAGCCGACTGTCCAGAGAAAATGTGGGAGCCTTGACGTCTCACAACCTTAATGGCCTTCACAGCCTATTACAGGGATTTTTTTTATCTGTCAAGCAGTTCTCAGGTTGAAACATGTGGACAGACCAACAAAGAGGAAGACATTGTCTCACCTGTAATGATCCTATATGTGCCCATCCTGCAAGGAAATTATAATAAGGCACCCTTAGTTCTTAGTACCCTCAACAGTATTACCACTCCCATTACAGGTTAGAGAAGTAAAATTGAGACCCATAACAAATAAGTTTTCTTCTTTAGTATTTTTTGACTTATTTTGTATTTTAACCTTTATTGTGAGGGAACTCAGTAATGTAGTTGGTTGAGGCAATGTGCTACAATCCAGAAGGTCATGGGTTCAAGTCCTGATGAGCTGGTTTTTTTTTTTACATAATCCATTTGGCTGCACTGTGCCCTGGGGTTGATTCAACCTCTAGCAGAAATGAGTACCAGGAATCTTCCTGGGGGCTAAAGAGTGGCCAGAGTGTAAGGCTGACAATCTTACCACCATCTGTGAGCCGATTGTCTAAACAAAATATGGGAGCCTCGACGTCTGACAACCCTGTGGGCCTTCATGGCATGTTACAGGGATAGCTTTACCTTTATTGTGAGGAATTTAAATGTCACTTTTGGGTACGTGTTATCCCACATAACAGTCAATTAATCTGTTGGTCCTCTAAATGCTTGTGACAATGGTCTGTTTTTTATTTTTAAGTTGTAATGTTGGACATTGTCTGTCTCTGAGATTGGCTTTTTCTAATGGGTCCATCTGAATATGTTCCTTTCTCTTTTCACACCTGATGACGGAAACAGATCCAGCGTCTGAAACATTGTACAGTTTAAATTTACCCAAGACAATTAATAGTGCCCACATAATTTTACAATGGTTAACTTGTGCTGCATTTTAGAAGAGTTGATGTGTTTGATTGTGGCTGCTGGAATAGGGTTGGCACCGTTCATTGTTATTGTGCGTAAATGGAACATCTGCATGAGAAAAGGTGGGATGTACAAGGGTATTGTAAGATTTGTCAGTGGTAAGAGATTTTTTCTCTTCTCCATTGCATCCAGACCAGCTCTGAGGCCCACCCAGCCTCTGCAATGAATGGAACGAGGACAAGTGGGAATTTCTTTATTGTAAAACATAACTATGAGTAACATGATTCTGTTCACAGAAGGGATAGCTCATTTGGTATAGTAAATAGCTATGAGCTGGATGACTAAGGTATTGGGTTTCAATTCCCAGCAGTGGTAAAAGGACTTTTTGCCACAGTGTCCAGACTGGCTGTGGGGTTGGCACAACCTTCTGTCTAGTTTGTACTTGGGGCACTTGCATTTGATGTAGAGTGGCCAGTGCATGAAGCCGTCCATTCACCTCCATTTAGTGCTGAGATTAAGAAAGCATGGAGCTCTATCTCCATTCCCAGTACAACTTCATATTGTTCTTAAGTAAACACAAGGACAACTTTAACTTTTTACGTGTTTGTTGTGAAGTCCATCACAATTAGGTAATTAACATCTACAACTAACCAATGTGAAAGCCTAAAATTATTTTCATTTATAGTTTTTCCTTGATGTCCAGGCAAATGCTGGAATAGTGCCTTGAAACAGGCTATGACTGTCTCCCACAAAATCATTCCTGCTCACCATCCACAGTCATTTCCCTTTTATTTATGCTACCTCTTTATCTCCTCTGTACTTGGAACAGTATCAGTGAATAACTTGGGAGTCAGTCATGTCTGGATTGAGAAATTAAGTTAATCTAGTAAGAAAAGTGTGCATTTGAGTGTGTGGTGTGTTCAGACATGGGCATGATTTTCAGAACATCATCTCCAATACTGGAAAATAGTTGTTGCTGTCATTTCTTGGGTACAGGTTGCAATGAATCTTTTAAAAAAACTATATTTTTCTTGGGTAAATGTTGTTATGAATCTGTTGACAAAACTGTGTTGATATGTTATGTTCTTTATGTAATTGATTTTGTATGTTCCATTACAGCCACTGGAAACTGCAGTAATGAAGACACTGAACTTCAGAGGTACCCCCTGTTAGCAGAAATGTATATTGAAGACATACCACTACCAAGAGATGCAACCAAACATTCAAATACCATTGTTTTGACTGCCAGTCGGGCTAGACGTTATGCTGAATCATTCCGATGTCAACGTTGTGGCAATTTCTACACATACAAGAAAAACTTGCTGCGGCATTTGAACCTCGAGTGTGGTAAAGAACCACAATTCCAGTGTCCATACTGCCCAAAGAAAGCAAAACATAAGAATCATTTGCTTAGGCATATCAAGTCCCAGCATGCAGAAAATGTATGAATGCCATACAGGGAGATTTGAAGTGAACTCATAGGCTGCTTCCTATTGTATAGATTGTTAGTAAAATGGATCGAAAACACTATTAGTATTGTTGTGTTATATTTTTGCAGTTATTATGTAAGTGTATATGTCAGATATAACCTCAATGTTTCATACTCTCACATTGTAATTGTTGACATATGAACAATATTTCATATATAATTTGTAGGTATGTTTGTGACTGTCTTCTTACCAGATTACCTTATATGCTGAGGTACTTACATATCTGCCTTATTAATAGTACAGGCTCTTGGCACTAGATGGGAGGAACATCTGGGTTGTGATATTCCCTCTTCTTCTGTCTCATAAAACAATAGTAGAAGAAAACGCTTTTCTGATATATGATACATAAAGGATTAAGAATTTTTGTTATTCTCTCTAAGTTGTTCCATGGAGAAACACAACAGTTTTTGATCTCAGAATCTTGTGTAATCTAACACCACAGCATTTTTAAGATGTTATGTAATAATGAACCAAATAAAATATAGAACAAATTAGGTTATGGGATACTTAATATCATATTACACTGTTATACTGTTGTTTTCCTTTCAAGTCTATATCTTGTTTTATCAGGTATGAGGTTTCATAGCTGTGAATGTGAAGTGTAGGCTCCTGTTTTATGGGAAGTTATGCTGTGTAGTCTGGATGAAGTTTACCATTGTTTTGGAGGAGTACACTGCCTTTATTTTCAATGTCGTGTAGTAAACTGGCATAGAAGCTTTACTTGATAGGCATACGCTTTGACCCTGAAGATGGAGGCATTGCATTCCCCTCAAATATCAGTTTGTCTCAAACTACACACACTCTCATCACAAGAGATGGTCCTCTTCAGGTCTTGGTTTGTTATACATTTATGAAGAGGTTTACATACTTCATCTGTTGCAGTGTTACTACTACTTCAGTATATTCCTTAGCTTTGAAATTTTATATTTTGGTTCTGACTGTCAACTCAGTATTAATTCTGTTGGTTTATCCTTAAGAAATTACTGTAAATGTGTTATTTACAAGTGGGTTTCTAGAAAGTTAGACCACCAGTTTAGTTCTTTAGTATGAATTGATAGGCTGTCATTAGTATTACATTGTAATTACTTTCCCTCAGTGAGTAACCACATCTCATTATCTGGGTAGATTATGACAAAGTTACGCACTAAAATGTTACTTTGTAGAAAGTTTAACTCACTCTACCAGTCTTTGTAGGTTAGATCCACAATAAATAACATATGTCATAAGACCATTAGCTTTTATTTTATTTGTGAAAGAAGATAATGTAAGAGTGTGTATGCCTCAAATTGCTATAACAAAAAAATAATAAAAATAGCTTTCATTATTAATTTTATGCAAACATATATATAGCTTTTATCAATAATGTCTGTACTAGTGGTGTTTAGTGCATACAGTTTTTATTCTTGGTGTCCATCGGTAATTGTTATATCTGGAGATGTATGACATGTTGAAAGTCACTGTAAAGCACTTATATGTAACACATTCTTTGAGGGCAGTTTGAGAACCATCTTTCCAAAATATGAGATTTGAGATTGCCCTGGCAATCAGTTCTAAGGTTATGGTCATCTGGGATGTAACACCATGTAATCTTGCTGGGTGGGCACACATGCTCCAGAGAAACCTGCTGCCTCTATTTTCATGGCCCTGAAAATGAAGGCAGCAGGTTCCTCAGAGATTCTGTTATGTATCTACCAAAATACATGCTTTTATGCTTAAAAAGGCTGTAAACTTAATAACTTTGGCTGTTCTATAAGCTAACAAACATATGTCTGCTTCTGTGGTTATTTGACATAAGTGTTCTACTGAAAATGTTCAGTGATGTGGCATTTTTCAGGAGAGATTTTTGTACATATGTAAATACAAGCAATAACTGTTTGCATTCTTTATAGCAAGTGCACAGATGGGAAGGTCGTGTATAATCTTCGAAACAACTTCAAAAATATTTCTGAGAAATTTTAGGTTGGGGTTTGCACTAAAAGTTTCCTGGCAAATTAATTTAGTTCACATTGCCTCTGGGGGCCCATCCAGAATCCTATCCAGTAGATACTGGAGGCTCTTTCTTCAGGGGTAAATGACCAGATGATGAACCTCACCTCCATCTGGTGACATGGATAAAAATGCATGCACTTTTATCTGTGTTCTGGTATGTGTTAATTCCTTCCACTTCTATGTTAACACATTAGTGGTACTGTACAGACCTCTTTATCTACATAGCCATTCTGTAGCATCTGTTGGGAAAATATTCAACTCCATGCTCATGGCTTCTTTGCATTCCCCAGCTTCAGCAATAGTTGTATTCCCAAGATTGTTTTCATGACCCATATTTTTGTTACTTTTTTGATTTCACTCTCATTAACATTCAATGAAAAATGCATGACTCATTTAACTGCAGTACTGTTTACTTTAACAGTTTACTAACCAAATTTCCTTGTATTAGATAAACAATTTCACTTTTGGACTTGAGGTTCTCACGGTGTGATTGAAGAGTTCTGTCATCTGGTATGTGATGCTGTTTAGTCCAGTTGTGACATTTTGGAGAAATGTACTGCCTCAATTATCAGGTTTTAAGGTTAAACTGAATAGGCAGAAGTATGATCTTACAGATTGTCAGCGAATGTCTACTAGACTACACAGTGTCACATCCCAGAAGATGGTAATCAACAGTGCCATTATTTTTTAGACTTCAAGAAAATAATTAAATTAAGAACAGTTGACATGAAATAGTAGTGTTAATGTGAAATCCACGCAAGTTTGTTAGTTAAGTCATGGGATACATGTACAATATAAATTATACTTACTCTAGACACTGCAGTAATTCTTTTTAATTTTTATTAATAAAAATAGCTTACAGGAGATTGGTATTCCAGCATTAAGTTTAGGTATATATACATGTTGACATATAGTAATCTCAATTTTAGTAAACAGAATGTCTTTTAACGATACAAGAAGCTTAATGTTTTAGAACTCTGAAATTGAGATTTCGTTACTTATGGTAAATGTGGTAAAGAAGAAGTTGGTAAAGTAAAACTGAAGTTTCCTCTAAGTACCACTACCATAAGGTGTATCGGGTGCATGGAGGCCAAATGTAATTCATTTTGGACCTTAGCAGGAGATGTAGGTGAACTCTCAGCTACTTGCTCCAACAGGTATACCAAAGCATGTGGTATAGATATATTAATGGGCCCCAAATGTATTTGGGTTTAGCTGTAAGAGAAAAGTCTTAGTGCCTCTTTTGGAAATTTTACCCTGGTTGCCCACCCTACGGCCAGTCACTTTACCAGTTATAGTTACAATAGTGAGGCCACAGAAAGAAGTCTCATGGACTTAGCCACCAACTACCCCCTCCAGCTCTTACATTTTCTCCTTCAGCATACTTCCATATATTCTCCTCCGGTCATCTAGTCATTCGCTTCACAGGTACGTTAAGAATGACAACCATATGATGAACTGCACTAATGATAAGTGCACTGGGCAAGATGATCAGGCCAAAGGAGGGCTGAAAGTGAATGCAGTAGTAGTAAGAATGGGGGGAAGCCCCAAACATTGTTATCCCAACTTCCCATATGATCTCTTACCATGGCCTGAGTGTTGTAAATTATGTTATGAGTGTTCTCTGTTTCAGAAGTGCATTAAGATTACATGTTGCCATAAGAGAGATGAAAGGATATTGAAAGTGTGTACTGCTCTCATAACAAAACAGTAATAAACTTCCACATGCTTATAATTTGTTGAGACTGTGATGCAGTTATTTATATTGGTGCAGTGAAATTAGATTTTTTTATGTACTGTATAGATGTAATTTTCTGATTTGTGGAGTTTATATATTGTGGCAGTCCACTTATTTTACTAACATCATAAATGTGACTGTGTGCCATGAGATTACAATGTATTGTGTACTCTTCTTACAATTATATGGATATTAATAAATGACTATGCATATTTAAAGACAGTTTTAACTAGTAAGCATATTTGTGCTGAAATATGATGTTTATTTCATCAGCAAATTATTTTTGCCATTGAACTAATGCCCCTTTTCTGCTTCTCTCATGTGTCAACTGGTTACATTTAGTATATACAATATATATATATACATGCAGGATGTGTCTCTTAAAACTTTGTCTACCATAATACTATCTCAGTTTTATATTGTGAACCACATGGAGACCAGTTACAGTGGTGTAACCATTTTTGGCTTGTGGAGGTATAGCTCATCTTTCATGAATGTCAGCACTAGATGTAGGCTAGTGGTTAGTGTCATCCTTGGTCACTTTACGCGAGGGAAGTATTCTCAGGTATCCATTGGATACGAGACTGGGTGGACCTCAGGTCTTGCCTTGACATGGTGGCAAAGAGAGGAGTCTCTGTCCCTCCTTGGAATCAGTGCTGATAATTCAGTTTAATTGAACTATGACATTATAACCATTACATCTGATATGTTTGAAATGCCACTAGCAAATTCAGAAAACAAAATTATGGTGGTATGACCATTGCATTTAGTGTCGGAGGAATGCCAGTACTAAACATTATCTTATCTCAACACAAAGAACCCTCTGATATTGCTTCCTGTTTTCATAAATAAGCCCTGGAGACTGGATTGTGTTGGTATTCATGTAACCATTTCTTCTGGTATAGAGAAAATACCACTTTATAGACTACATTACACTGATCTTGGCAGTGTAACAGTTACAACTGGTGTGGAGTAAAAATATGTCATCAATTCAGAAAGTTTCATTATGGCTATGTAATTATTTGAAATTGTGTGAAGGATATTTCACTCCTAAAAGCATATCGGGTTACTTTTGTGTTTGAATTTGAATTGTTGTTTCTCATATTGGCAGTAGTGAACAACCAGTACAGTTTGGTTAGCTGTAACCCAACTAATCAGTCATGTGAACTGACCTGAGAGGAATAAGTTGTCTGCCTTTTGGAAACCATCCCAGTATTCATATGGAGGGACTCAGGAATGCTCTTGAAATTCCCAGTCATGATAATTGGTTTGCCTGGATGAGATTTTCTTCATAATTAGGGTCTGATGCATTACTTCAGGATAGTGTGCTTGGAGAATATGAATTATTTTAGTGTGTTCAAGGATGTATTGGCTGTCTTTTCACAGTAGGTGGATCCTGCAATGTCTCTGAAAGATGGCAGCCTGCTGCAACAAATTGTTATTACCCACAAAATGAATGCAGAAGTCTTTTCTTTTTGTGATGGACTTGAGATTCTCATAGCAATGACTGCAAAGAGTATTGTGATCTGGAATGTGACTGTGTGATCTGGTTGAGGTCCATTTATGTTCAGGAAGACCATACTGCCTCCATTTTCAGGGTTGAAGTGTAAGCAATAAGTGAGAAGCAAGCAGAGCTCTGCAGAACATTGGTAAACTTCCACCAGACTACATACATCACATCCCAGAACTTAGTACGCTTTACTTTTTGTGTTTGTTACCTCATTACTAAAATTATGTGTATAAAATTTTAAGAAGTAATGTGTCACACCTCATATATAGCTTCTTTTTTTCACAGTTCTTTGGATGAAACATGCCAACTACATATTACTGTTTCAGGTTTAAATATCAAGTTATGGAACAAACTTCAGGATGTACTTCCTGCATCATTTGCAGAGATGCAGCTGCAAATGACATCAACTAGAAGCGTGGTATCAAAATCCAATATACCTTTCCGATGTCCACGGTGTTACAAGTGTTACCAATACAAGAATTCACTGTCTCGTCACATGAGGCTTGAGTGTGGCAAAGAACCTCAGTTTCAGTGCCCATTCTGTCCACATTCTGCCAAACATCGAAGTCATCTGCAAACACATGTAGCTAGCAAGCATAAGGCTTGCATCTAGCAGTAGTGACATTATCCGTGATATCGTGTCAACTTCATTTAATGTATTCTTTCTCAGGGATGTCATCCTAAATATGAAAGTAACAGCAGGACCAGGTTGAAAGAAATGGGTATCTGCGTATAGTAAATGCTTAGGTTTGTTTCTATTCAGTGCTGAGATAATGGAGTGCTCCATAAAGCTGCAGGGCATGCCTATTTCTGGACTTCCATATGAGCACTAAGTGGAGAGCATGTGGCAACAGATGGCATTACTAGCATCGATTGTTATGGGCAATGTGTTGGTACAGTACTATATGCCAATGGCTGAACTGCTTTTGGCCAATGGTCATAAGCACTGCTAGTAAATTTTGATTGGTAGATGTTCTTTTTACCTAACCATAATTTTATGCTTCTAATCGAACAACAAACAGCTTATGCAACAGGCATTCTTAAGAAACTGACACTTACAGCTCAAAATTCAGAAATGAAACAGGTTGCAAGAACTCTGTGTTTCACATTACTAACTGTAAAAAACAAGAAAATTATTTACACATCATATGAACTAACTGTTTTTAATCTGCAATTCGCAATTTTTATTATTAGCAAGATTTTATGGATCTATCACATTAAGGGAAGAGCATAGACTGAGGTTGTTTGAGCACAGGGTGTTGTGGTGTATCTTTCAACTGACGAGGAAGAAAGTCACAGGGGAATTTAGATAATGAGGAGCTTCATTAGTTGTACCCCATGCCAAATATTATAATTATCAAATTAAGGATGGTGAAATGGGCAGGGCAAGTAGCATCTTCATTCCATCAAATTCTCCACAAATAAGAATATCTAACTAATTCTAAATTGTAATCAACTGTAAACAATTGTAACTATTGTAATTTTAATCTTACTCATATATTAAATTGTTAATATTCAGAATTAACTTGACTTGTCCTATATCATGTACAATGATCTACAGTGACGAAATCAATCAATCAATCAATCAGTCATTCATGGGACAGAAGAGATAGGTGTACAAAGTTTTTGTAAGAAAATATAAAGGGCAGTCAGTTGGAAGGCTTAGTCATAAATGAGAGGATGATATTAAAATTGACCATATAGAGTAGGATTGTAGGGTGGGGACTAGCTTCATCTGGCTCAGGATCAGCACCAGTAGCTTGCTCTTGTGGACACGGTAATGAACCCTCCATTTCCATAATGTGCATTAAATTTCATGATTAGCTAAGCAACTGCTATCTTTTCAAGGAACTCTCTGCTCCATGGAGTGAATAAGTTAATTAGCAACATTTCTGAGTGACTTGCACCATTAAAAACAGCAGTGATTTTCATTTAAAGTGCAAAACTGCTAGGGGACTAAACTCAAACAAGGTATGCACAAGAAATCAAAGAAGATTGTACTGCAAGGGTTGTTTAATGCTTATCTGTTTTTGTCTGTATATCTTTTGTTAGCAAAATGTGTACTGTAGTTAAATGTATGGTGTAAAACAAAATGTCTTATATGTACACTACTCAAACTGAAATGCTTTAATCCACTCCATTCTGCTCAGGAAGTATTCTCATATATTTGAATTGTCAGTCATTTAGGTATTGATGTTTCTCTCTATGTCCTGAAACATTTCTATTGGTGTTGCATATGAAGTAATAAATGGTATTTGCCTACCATGGTTTGAAAGTAACTTATTTGCTAATAGATAGATTTAATGCTTCATATAAAGGGTTGGAATTTATCATGTAACAGTGCTGATCCCATCAAGAAATGGGCTGCTGCCACTGTGTATCTGTAAAAGTTATTTCATCCTAAATATGCCACTGAAATGCAGAGAAGCTCAGTGTATCTTGAGAGAATTAAAACATGTGATGGTCATCAACTCTCACTTATTCTCTTCCATTTGTGTTTCAAATGTAGTTTTTGTGTTTTACGGAAATGTAGCTGGCCCAGCAGTTAAATCTCATTTTGGGGGCATAGGAATGAATTTATTGACACACTCAATGTTATCCATTATCTTGGTTTTACACTAAAAGCACAATGTTTCAGTAATGACTTGCTTTTGTCTTCAGAGATTGTAGGACACCTAATGCAGTGGGACCATTTAAAAAAGCTAGTCTAATGGGCTCTTCAGATTAGGCTCCAGTTTTGCCAGAAGACAGATGAAGAGGTGCTTTATGAACTGTGCAATTTTAGTGCAGAGCCTAGGTGATGGATAATGTCCAGGGTGTTTAACTATGATGCACCCTCAACAGGAAGATTCAGAAATGAATATTTCTTAATTTATGACAGAGTTTAAATTCTGTAATTTTCTTCTGAGGTGTAATATGTGCTATTATATGTATATATGTTACATGGTTACATACAGTGGACTTGAGATAGTTATGTTGAGAGCATTAATGTAACTGATATTAGTGTGGTGTAAATTGTGTGTGTGTGTGTGTGTGTGAAATAATACATTTCTGTGGTGATAAATTTTGCTTTTAAATATTGCATTCATGCTGCTGGATATTGTTTATTTTTTTAATTCAAGGGTGAAGTGCATATATATCTCAGATCCAGGATGACCCTCTCAGTATGTACGTAAGGGGTGGACGATAAAAACCGGCCCCCACACTGTGACCTTCAATGATCTATTGTGCTTCCCCTTGGATTAGCCCTTTATTAATCCTACACTTTTAATAAAGTGTAGGATCCTGCTTATGGGGGCATCATAAAAGTCACATGGTTCCGTAAAAAACTGTCCCAAGTGACAAAATCTTAAATAAGCCATGGCCTCACATTCACACAGGATGTGTGTGTGGCTGATTCATTTTCTTGTAGGCACCTTTCACAAGTTGAGTTGTCAGGATGACCCTCTCAGTAAAGAGACTAGGCTATGGACTACAGAGCTAAGGAATTATGGTTCAGTTCCTGGCAGGAGCTAGAGACATTTATCTAGATCATCCAGAATGGCTCATAAGTCTGCCAAGCCTCCTATCCAATATATACGAGGGACTCTGTCCCTAATAAAGTGGCCAGAGTGTGAGGATACAACTCTTTAGTGTTGCAGTTAAGAATGTATGAAGCCCATACCTCCATGCCCTATATGCCTTTGTGGCATAGTGTTTAATTATACACAGTGACAACTATGATTTTATGTATTTTGTGTAGAAACATATATTGGGTCATTGTTTAGATATGCAAAGATGTGATTCATTGTCTTATAAGTCCAACAGTGCTTGGAAGCATGTACTGCATCAGTAGCACATCTGCCTCTATCAGTGTTCAAGTGTTACTATTATGTTACCTTCTATATTGGGAAAGTGTATTTCTTACTCTTATGCGTACCTACCTCACTGAGCACCATTTATTCACGCCCAACACAGTTTAATATTGCTAAGCTGAATACAAATATCACAGTACTTGAAGTCATACATTATTTTTCCTTGTATTTTGTTAAATATACACAATGTTGACAGAGGTTTCAAATAAAAATTGTAGAAATGAATGAGATATTTATTTTACTTTATCAATTGGTTATTTTTGTATGCTGATTGATTTTTGGGAAGAATTATATAGATTGTGATATGATATAGGAAGCGTTTATGTTGGACTTACATGGACCAGAATTTAATTTGATGAGTGCTGTACTCTGGGATGTGTCTCCATGTAGTTTGTTAGAAGTTTATTGACTTTTTGGAGGAATGTACTTCATCCATGTTCAGGGTCTAAGAGGAAGCCAAGCAAGTAATCAGCTAGCAGAGTTTCCTGCTAGCTAGCTTGGCTTACTTTTGATGCTGAAGATGCAGGGAGTGTGTTCCTCAGATATTTGTAACTGTGTGACATTCCACAAGATAGTACACCTCATAGTCACTGCTGTAAGATTCTCAGATATCACAGCATATAATTTATTTTATAACTTTCAGTGTGTACCCTATTTTCCCATTCCAATACCAAATATCATAGACATTTATTAAGTAATACCAGGGGTTGAATGTGTGGTTTTGTTCATTTCATGTATTTTAGGCAAGTACTACACATATAACATTACTATTGATTTATGAAAATGGTCCATGGGACCTGAGTGACCACCTTCCTTGTAACCTACATACATAACTACGACATCCCAACCACACTCACTTTGACCCTGAAAGCCAATGTAGCATGTTTCTACAATACTGCACAGTTTCATAAATCACAAGACCACAGTGTGGTTCTAAAGAAGAATACTGTTTACTGGGATGTGAGGCTGTGTAGTCTGGTAGAAGTTTACTGACATATCAGAGGAACAAAGTACCTCCATTTTCAGGGTCAGATGGTAAGACAAGGGAGCAGACAGAAGGCTACAAATTTCTACCACAATGCATCACATCCAGTCACTGTCCTGAGAACATCAAATGCCACTTGTTTCTAAAGAGTTTGTGACAGTGGTCTTGTATCATCATGGGGATGTATTGTTGTCGTATTAATAAGAATTAGCTTTATCTAATGAAATGGATACCTCTTTATTTTGCTTACAGACTGAGAAAGAGCTATCTTCAAATATATCATACATCTTTTTTCATCAAAATGTGACAGCGATTAAGGAAAATACTATCATGATCATAGAAATCACAGTGCTCTTTGACTTCTGATAATTGTGAGCAGTGGCCTGCTATTGTATTATCTGTACATAAAAGGCTGAGGTGTGCTCCTAGGACTGATAAAGCATATTGTCATTACAGATGAAGGTGTTGGTGGCATTTGGCTACAAAACTATCAAATACCAGTAGTTGGTGACCTGAGTCATTGCTTCCCCGAGGAAATGAAGAATGATAAATGGCTTGCTGGAGTGACTCAGGAACCAGGATGTTCCGACAGTTTCCAGTGTACTGCGTGTGGAAACATATACAAGTACAGACGCAGTCTCTTGAGACACATCAGGCTGGAGTGTGGAAAGGAACCGCAGTTTCAGTGTCCAGGCTGCCCTCTGAGGTTCAAGCACAGGAATCATTTAATGCGTCATGCTAGTACAAAACATCATCAATGAAATTCATGTTAAAGGATCGATAACCAGGGCTTAATATTTGAACCTCAAATGTAGAAATTGTATGAAGAGAAAGGCAATTTATCTATAAATAAGTAAATAAATAAATATAAACAAGTTTTGTTTATGTGATATTATTGTATCGATACATTTGTAATGATTGAGTTATTCTGATGACAGTATGTTCTAGTTGTTATAGCATGTTGTTTGCTTCACCCTCTCAATGCTGAGCTGCAAGCCATACAAAAAAATGACCATGTTGTTTCTTAAAAATTCATTAAAACTCAAAAAGGGACTTCTGTGATCAAAACATGAAACAGAATGTAGCAAAAATCAGATATTTTATATGATAGTTTTATTTATTGTATGAATTATATGCGGTAGGAAACTAGTGTCTTATCATCATTTGGATTTGATTATGGAAGGATTTGCAAGACCTGCCCCACTGGTTCAGTTGATTCACTGGCAGGGAACTGCAGGAGTGAGTGAATTGAAATGGTATGAGCATGCTTGTGGAGAGGAATCTTCATAACATTTGTTCTGTTGTAAGATTTGAGGCTTTCACGGCAGTGACTATGAAGAAAGCAGTCTTCTGGGATTTGGCACCGTGTATATGTGGTGTTAACCGACGTTTCAGAGGAACGTATCGCCTCCATCTTCAGGGTAGAAGAAAAAATATAAGAAATCTGCAAGCGAGGAGACCTTGAGAACCGGTCTGCTTTTACTGGTTCTCACGGTCTCCTCGGTTGCAGATTTCTTATATTTTTCTTCTACC